CCCAGTCTGGGAGCCCTCAGAGGCAGAAGGCGACTCGGTGATCAGGGGAAGGTGACACTCCATCACACCTCTGCTGCTGCCACTGCCGGCAGCACAAGCTTCAGCCGGCCCTGGTTACCTGAGCTTTGGGTGGCCCTGGGTGGCTGGGCAGCCAACATCTGAATCCTGCCTGTGCCTCAGGCCGGTGCTAGGCAGCTGGGAGACTGAGGGAAGTGGAGGACTCTGGAGGCAGGCGCACAGAGTGGCTAGGCCTGCCTAGGGGCAGGCCAGACCTTGCCAAATGCCTGCCACCCTGGTGGGGCTGAGGGGACTGGGCACTACCATCTTGTGGCTGTGGGCACCACCATCTTTGAGGGCATGGTAGTCAATTAGCATATTCCCTCCTTATTGGCTGTGGGTGCCACCATCTTTGAGGGCAGGGCAGGCAATTAGGATATTCCCTCCTTATTGGCTGTGGGAGCTGCCATCTTTGTGAAGGCCTGAGGGTCAATTAGCATAATTCCCTCTTTATTAGACAGGATTAAAATGAAAATGAATATATGGCATATTATGACTCCTTAGATTTCACATCTAAATTTATGCATAGTGATACCTATTAAATTTACATTTAAAAATATAGTTATAACATATGATGCTTTAGCTTAGGAAAAAGAAGCAAAACACAGATCTATAGATTTTCTTGGTATACTTATAACCAAGAAAGGATACATAGAGTGTTATTATTCCTTGGGAATATATTTTAATCATTTGATTGGTTATAGATGTATTAAAGAGATAATAGCTGAGTTGTACACATATAACTGCTCCTATGTGTCTTCTTCCCTCTTTCCAGAATACGTTTTTTCCTAAGGATCTTATTAATACATCAGAACTGTTGAAATGCTGCTTTCTCAGTGAGCCTTCCTTAATCAACACTGTCCAAATAGGTCCTTCCCTACTTTCCTCTATCCTTATGCCATGTTATTTATCTCATGAACACTTTATATTTTCAATTAATCTAAAATCTTATGTATAAATTACATCATTTAGCTCCTGGCTATCAACTCCTCACATCCCAGTTTCTATGACTCTCCGCGGTGCTCACATCTTCTCAGCAATTCCCTTGATGGTCCCAGGGTGCACACGGGAGGTTCTCCTCCAGAGCACAGCTGCACAGTTCGCTCTTACGTTTCATCAGGTCTCTTCAATGTCACCAGCCCAGAGGGCCTTCCTTGACTATCATACTTCAAACAGCAGCCCCCACTACTCTCTCGGATGCAGTCTTATTTTTCCCACTGGCACGTATGGTTGTATATGTATGGGTTCAATGTGCAACTCCTTCATTAGCATGTACACTCCATTAGAACTTTATCTGCTTTGTTCTTTAGTACTGCCACATTGCTTAAAATTGTGCTTGCCATAGGCTGACACTCAACACTTATTTGTTGAATTAATTAATTCCTTATTTATTATTTGTTTCTCCCACTAGACTCTTAAGGGCCATAAAAGCAGGAACATTGTTTCTGATATTCCTATAGCATCTTGTATAGATTAAGTTATAAATAAATGATGAATGGTTTGCTTATGTGTGCATTTGTGTGTATATATGTGTGTATGTGTGTGTGTGTTTAATCTTTCTCTCTGGGTAGACTGTAATTACAACAAAGATGAATTATGTCTGTTTAGCTCACCATGCATGCCAATCCCATAGTGGGGTCTCACACATAGTAGACATACAATAAATAAATGAAAAGTCATCAGGACTGGGACCAGAATGAATAGGAACCTATTGTGCCAATAGCTACCCAGAGGCCTCCACCAACTTACTATGAGGTGTTAATGGCAGGTGGAAAAGAGTCTAGGACATGCACAGATAAGTGAAGACCTTAAACTGCCCTTTCAGGGCCCAGCCTGGTCCTAGCAAAGGCTTGCTTCCCAGGCAAAACCCAAGAAGCTAGCACATACTCTGAGTGTCTTCCTTTCAGATACCTTTTATATCCTGGGAGGAGTAAATCTTAATTTCAATCCATAGCTTTGATCAGTTTGCTAAAACCTTTGCCATGAAGATTCCAGATAAATCAATTTATGGTGCCAAAGGGCATCAAATAAGGAAAAAAAAAATTAGATTGTAACGTAAAGTCTGCCAGTACCTAGAATAGTATCCTGTCCTTTCCTGCCTGTTTTTTCATTTGAAAAAATGAAGATGATAAAAAAGAACTGCTCTGAAATTATGGACATGGATTCAGGTTTGCTGAGGTGTCCTTGGAGGTTTTGCCAAACATCTTCCTCCCTCTCCCTTTGCCCACTGGCTACAATTCCCCATGGCTAATAATCACAGCATTGGTGAGCTATGGTAACTGATAGTAATTGTCAAGCAAAGCAAAACGTTAAACTGCCAGCCTATGTTCTTCCTGCCATCCTTTCCAGGGCCAAAATGTTGTGAATCTATAAACGGTACTTCAGTTCACTACCAAATCCCTATATTTTAAAGGTGATTAAGTTACTGCAGTCCTTCGTTCACTTAGATTAATGTGTGGTTTTTCTACTGCGATCAGGGACAAGGTCAGACACTGAGAACACAAAGATGAGTTTGGAAATGGTCTCTTCCGTGATGGAGCTCTCTTCAATGAGGAGCCAGATGCAACAGCCTGAGAAATGTTTTGATGGAGCCAAAGCAGCAGGTGACTTCAGCACACATCAAAGGGCATCAAAACAACCTGGGCAACTGAGTGGGCTTGAAAAGTCTTCCAGTGAGTGACCAGAAACTGAGTCCCAATGTTAATGAATCAAATTAAAGCTGCACAGTGTCAGAATCATCGCAGCCAAACTCCTTATGTTGCGCAGTGGAAACCTGATGCCCTGAGAGACTGACTGACTCATCCAAAGTATCAGAGTTACAACTAGGACCCAGAGAAGTAGTATTTGGCTTCCCTCTTTTAAGAGACTTTCTTTCTTTCTTTCTCTTTCTTTCTTTCTTTATTTCTTTCAGAATTCCTTATTTCATCAGTTTAATGATGAAATTAGTTGATTAATTATATTTTAATGACAAAGACATAAAAATACTTTTATATAATGGCTTCATGCACAGCGATCCTACCAATAGCCCATCATCTGTAAATTACAGACTTTGCACTGAGCTGTTGATGAATTAATTTATTCAGCTGCAACCACTGTCTCTCCCAGCTTGCCTCTTGAGCTGCTTACTGCAGGAAACTAATCACACTGGGAAGGATAGGGACAGCCTGGCTGTGAACAAGAACAAACTTTAAGAAGAGATCTTGGTCCGATTGCATTTCCTCTCCACAACTGAGGGAGGCATCTAAAGGCTAAGGTAAAACCGAAAAGTGAAACACTTTCAGTAGTATGTAGTAGTATATAAATTGCTCAGGTATACAATTTTCTTGGAGTTTTTCTTTTTTCTCCTTCTGTAGTCGATTTACTTGAGCTATTTAAAGACTGATTAAGTAATGAGACTATACAAGAGCTCATTACATTAAAACAGAAATACTTAGAAAATACATAATTTCTCGTAGCTTGCCATCTGTGTGGCTCTTAGTGGCAATGGATTTATCCTGCTTAGTGCAGATGATGATATTGGAGTGAAATCATGGGTTATACAATGGATTTCTGAGTTCTTTTACTACTGTTATTAATTTACAAGTTTGCAAATTAACATTTCCCAAAAATAAAAATTTTAAAAATTTTCAACTTTTACCCCCCAAGCCAAGTTGCTATGGGCAACAAATAAGATCTGTTCTGGCGCCAACAGATTGCCTTAACGTCACCCACAATCTCTCCAAATTAAAAACCTCCCCGGCTTTTCCACTGTACTCGCAGCAGGATGCTCTTTTTGCCTTGTCCCACAGTCCAGTTTAAGCCGCTACAAAGAATATTTTTAGAGGCACATCAAACTCAATCATCTTCCCTCTGAACACACCATTTCCAAACGGCCACCCAGGGTCCTAAACCCGGCCTCTGCGGAGGGGGACGGGCAGGTGTCCTCCTCCGCAGGGTCGCCGGTCTGGAGCGCCTTCACAACCGGACAGGGGACGCCAGCAGCAAAACCCAGCCTCGGTGACAGGTACCACCCCTCCCGGGTGCGGCAGGGAAGCCCGATCCGAGCGGCTGCCTTCCCCCTCAGGCTTGAGCAGGACTTGGGGAGAAAGCAAACACCGCTTCCCCATCAAATCAGGGCGCCCAGGGTGGGTGGCAGGTCAGAAGTTGAATTTCCATCCCATCTGCGCTGCGTCCCGGCGCATCCCGCAGCCCGGGCACCACGGCGGGCGGCTCCAGGTGGGAGAGAACCAGGCTGGCGGGGCAGGGGAAACTGAGGGCTGCCGCTGCCGCTGCCGGGGAGCACCGGGCGGCGGAGCAGATGCGCCCCCCTCCACCTCCGGAGCCAGGAATAAGCGGACTCGGCTGCAGGGACAATGCGCCCCCGGCCGGGGCACCGCGCCGCCCAAGCTCCGGTTGCCCTTTTGGCCCAGGAACTCCCGCCGCCGCAGCCCCGCGCCCGGGCACCGCTGCTCCGGGGAAGCTGCCCGGACACCGGGAGCCGGACCTTCCCTCGCCCCGGCGCAGGGACAAACTTCCTCCTCCCGGGTCCCCCCGGCCGCGCTCTCCGGGTCCCGGGCTGCAGGCGCCCCGCCCGCCGGGCACCGCACGGAGAGCCGCCCCGGCGCCTCCGCAGCCCCGAGCCCCGGGCGCCGGGCGGGCGCCGCGCATCCCGCAGCCGCTCCGACAAAGCCGGGCCCGCGGCGCCCGGGCGGGGGGCTGGGGGCGGCGGCGCGGGCCCCGGGGCCGGGGGCGCCCCTCGGCCGGGCGGCCCGGCGGGGCGCGGCGGGCAGGGGAAGGGGAGAAAGTCTCCCGCTCCCGGCGCGATCGCCTCGCCTTCTCCGCCGTCCTCGCCTGCTCGCTCTGCTCCCCCGGCCGAGCCGGTCCGCCCGTCCCGGCGGCAGTCGGCGGGGACCGGGGCGCGGGCGTTGGGGAGGCGGGGGCCTGGCGGCGGGTCGCCCCCTTACCTCGGTCCAGGGTGAGCGGCTGGACCGCTGTCAGGGTCGCCATGTCTGCGGTGGGAGCCCAAGTGGCGCTCGGCTCCGGCGGCAGCAGCAGCGGCAGCAGCAGCCGTTTTTAGTGAGAAAAAGAGGAGGAGATTGGGGGCGGGGTGGGGAGGGAAGTCGGAGAGGAAGGGAAGGAGAGGAGGGGGGAGGAGGGAAGGTGGCGGTGGTGGAGGAGAAGGAAGCTTGGGTGGGTTGGCAGCCAGATGGAGACGCAACTGTCGGGCCGCGGACAGACCTTCAGGCTCCGCGCGCGCGAGGCGGAGCAGGTACCAGCTCCTGCGCCGCCGGCCCGGGAGGAGGGCTCAGCCCGGGAACTTCGGGGTGCCAGCCAGGGGAGCTCACAGCGGTGCAGCTGGGGTGCTGCTTTCTTCAACTTTCCAGTGAGATGAGGTGGTCAGAGGATGCGTGCCCCAGGGAGAAAGGGAGAAGGGTGGAGAGGGAAGGGGGCAGGGAGGTAGAGAGGTGATTTTTTTTTTTTTTCAGATGAAGAGTATTTGTCAAACCTGTAATCCCATCCCCTGGGGAGAAAAGAAAATGCTTCTAGTTCGGAAATGTTGGGATTTGTATGTAGTTGCTGTTAATTTCTGTTATTGTTTTTTTTTTTTTTTTTTTTTTTTTTTTTTTTTTTTTTTTTTGGAATGTTGGCTTATAACAGCATCAAGATAACGGACTTAAGGCCAGGGTTCTATCACTATGTCTTCATGGAAGCCCTGAGTGTATTGCCTAGAAAAGAACTTATCTTAAAAGCAAACTTCTTAAAAATGGTTTTTAATAAAAAATAAAAAAATAAAAAACACGTAAATAAGTTCCATTGCTAAGTTTGTAAAACTTGTCCCTAGCAGGTTTTCTGGTTGATCTGTAGCCAGGGGCTATTCAGTTGTCACTTACGAACATGTATGTCAGGAACAGAGCTAGGAGTGTTACATGCCATGTGCCGTGGCCTGACTTAGGAATTGAATACAGTTCCTACTTTCCTGTGGCTTATGATCTAGTGGAATGGGCTGTTATTGAAAGGGTGAATTAGAGTTGATCAGAATTCAATTGCTAAAACCTTCAGGTACTGGCTATGACCGCTTCAACTGCTTTCACTATATTGCCACTGTAGGGACTCATTTCCTGGTAAAGAAGTCAGTGTATAGAAACCTTATGTAAGCAGAATGGTGATGGCCATGGGTTTAGGATTGGAAAGGACAAAGCTGCCTCCATTCCCTTCCCTAGAACAGAGCAGAATTGTTTTTTGGCCAGCAATATGTTCTGTTTTAAAGCAAAATATTTGTATATGATCCGTATCATTGTCTTCTGATGATAAAAATGGATGATTTATGAAGATCTTTTGCATCCATGGCCTACATTTTTATTTATTTTACTTATTTTTAATATATTTTTATTGATTTCAGAGAAGAAGAGAAAGATAGAAACACCACTGATGACAGAGAATCATTGATCAGTTGCCTCCTGTACACTCCCTATGGGGATTGAGCCCACAAGCCAGGCATGTGCCCTGGGAATTGAACCATCATCTTCTGGTTCATAGACTGATGCTCAACTGCTGAGCCACACTGACTAGGACATTGGTCTACATTCTTTAAAAAAGGAAACAAGACTTCACCAATGATTTGAGAAAGTAAAAAATGGCCATACATCCAACAGACCCTAAAGACATCCCTGAAATAGTTCCATGTGCCTACATTTTCACTGAGTGTTTTAGAAAGAACATGATCTTGAAATTCAAGTCTTAGCTATCTCTTCTCTAGAAATCACATGACTCCTCACTGATCCCCAGTTTCCTCATCTGTCAAACATGGGAATAACCTTCACTCTCACTGAGAGTCTGTAAACGAGGAAACGTAATTCTGCCTTTCAATCTTGCTGAGCTTTGTGAGGGTCTGAATGTGCTTTGAAAAAGTAAGGCATATATAAATTTATACATACAGCAAACACACGTCCCACCTGAACTGTGTGGCAAGCACTCTGCTAGGCCCTAGCCTTGCAGAGATTAATGAGATGTCGCCCTGTCCTTGGACAGGGCTGGGTCCAGGCTGGGAGACAAATGAGCAAGCTATGTATGCAGCCAGTGCTCTAAGCATCCCAGAAAGGAAGCACTATGGGACTGAGGAAGAAGCAACAATTCTGCTTGATTTTCATTATTCACATCCCCTAAATCAAACAGCAGAGAGAAGTTGAGTTGTGCACAATAAAAGCATAGTATGCTCCAAGGCCTTGCATGAAATGTCAACCCTCATTCAATAATTGAAGATGAAAAGAACACACAAATCCCCTGGCTACTAATGAAGGTCTTTAAGAACATACTTTATTATGAATACATATTTGAACAGCTTCATTCATAACTCTAAAAGCCATAATTGTTCCTATTTCAACACAAATTTGATATTATAAGGCCCATGATGGATTTTTATCTTCGTTTTCTAAGGTCTCCCCAACACAAAACATTTAATAGTATGTTTCTAGACTTATGCCTTGAGCTCCCTAATTGAAAATTTGTTCTATCATTCTCACTGCATTGGCAATGTAGGGTTTTTGTAGAGACTGAACAGGAAAGTAAGAGAAAGCATGAATAATCATACATTAATTGGTTGTTATTTCTAATAGTGAATACTTCAATGCCTTTAGCTGGTGCCTATGCAGATATAGAAAATGAGTAATAATCATTATCTGTTAGGATTTATTTTTTAATGAAGAGTGAATACCTAACTACTGTCTCTCCAATAACATATGTGAATTTCTATTTAAGACATCACAAGAAAATTTCTGTAACCTCTTCTTTTGCTTGGGTAGATGTGACCATACTTAGGTCTCTTGAATAATTGCTTGGACCACTCCTATGCCACCCATAGTGTCTCAAGGTCAATGTACTTGATCTATTCATATTTATGCTGCTCTGTTTGTGTATTAATCATGGAATTGTTAAAACATACATGATTATACTTTTAGCTATTTGGTTATGCAATCATTAATTACTATTGTTCATTAAATTATATATAGTAATTTAGTTCGTTGGAACCTGTTTTTTTTAATGGAATTCATTCATTCAAAAATATACTTACTAATCATTTTATATGTGCCAGGCATCATGCTAGGCTGTTTTCTCTTTCCTCCTCTTTTCAACCCAGAAAAAGTAGTATTGCTATTTCAATTTATAGATAAGCAAAACTGAGACTCAGAGGTTAAGCAATTTAGCTCAGAGGTTAAGTAACCCCTGTTTAGTCGTGCCTATGATGTTCATTAAGAAAAAGACTTTAGCGCAGCCAGGTATGCTCAGTGGTTGAGTGTTGACCCGGGAACTAAAGGTCACCAGTTCAATTCCCTGTCAGGGCACAACATGCCCGGCTTTCGGGCTCTATTTCCAGTGGAGAGCATGCAAGAAGCAGCCCATCAATGATTTTCTCCTATCATTGATGTTTCTCTCTCTCTCTCCCTCTCCCTTCCTCTGTGACATCAATAAAAATAGATTTTAAAAAGAAAGAACAAGACTTTAGCCTGGCCCAAATGGTTCAGGGGATTGAGCATCATCCTCTGTCCTCCACACTGAGACGTTGCTGCTGCCCAGGTTGCAGGCTAGATTCCCCAGTGGGAGGTGGACAGGTAGGCGGCAGCTGATTCATGTTTCTATCTTTTTCTCTCTCCTTGACCTTCCTCTCTCTTTAAAGTCAATGAAAATACATTTAAAAATAATAATAAAATTTTTTTTAAAAAACTTTATTTTGTACTTTTGAAGATTTCATGATTTCAGCATTGTATTTCAGAGTTTCTTTCTCTTTTGTTGTTATGTCTGAGATATATTTAAAAGAGGGAGAATGAATATAGGAAATTTAAGCTAAAGTAAAAAAAAAAACCTATGATACAGGTTTCATTTTATATAGGTTAATATTAAAATTACTATCTACTTCAAAATATAAAATCTTTTGTTTTTAAAAAAGCATTCAAAGCTATATTAAGGTCCTTTTTTACTTCATTGAATCTTTTTTAATTATGTGACAAAATCAAGAGGTTTGCATAAAATGCTAGCATACCAAAAAGATGTGTTTAGTTAGATTATAAATGGAGTGTAACAAGCACAGTTACATATGAGGAAAATAACACCTTCAAACTGGAATTCTTTCAGTCTTTGGTGTTAGAAATTATTTTTGACTGATTCAAAATATCACGTTGTCTTCCTTACCAGTAATTCTCACAGCTTTGTCAAAATAACACTAGATTAAGCTGAAGTGCCAACCTATACTTTGGAACACAAATGGATATAGGTGGTTATTTTTTAAACCATTACCTATAGAGAATTTTACTATATTTATTTTATCCTTAGGTTTGTTTGATAACTATTTTTTTTCTGCTCATTCAACAAATACTTAATGTACTTACCATCTATGCATGTTTTAGGCACTGGGATTTCAGTGAACAAGAAAAAGGCCCTGATTGTGCTGGGGTGAAAGAGACGGTAAACAAAGTAATAAACAAACAATAAAGAGAGTAACGAGTGAGGAAGTACTATGCAAAGACTGAACAATATGGCATTTGAATTGGGTCTAGAATAATGTCAGAAACACAAAAGTCAGAGCTAAGGAGAAGGGCATTCCCAGGAGTAGAGAGTAAAGCCAGAGACAGGAGAGCAGGCATGTTGCATGTCGCATGTTTGAGTAAAACAGGTAGTTAAATTTGGAGTATAAGAAAAAAAAAAAACCTAAGGGCAGCCATTGAGAGTCAGATTGTAATAGTATAATTAATAGAAATAGTTATGAACTTGTTCCTTAATAACTTTGTGTCCACCATAGAGGGAAATGTACAAGTACAATCTGGGCTGAGGGGAAAAACAAAACAAAAAACTGTTGCAGCATCTGCATTAAAAATTACTAACAGAATAAAATGAAGAGTTACTAATTCAGAGTTGGATATTAGAAAATTGAAGATGAAATGTAAATATTAACTGCAAATTCTAATTACTTTTACTTCTTTCAAAAGAAATAGAAAAGAGCCTTGAGAGAAGAAAAT